ATATCAAACCAAAGCATTAACTTTGAAATATAACACACTACCATCCAAACATACAAAAAGGGAGATTAGACAATTTAGGAACCCTTTTGCTACAAAAAGGGTTACTGTGGTCAACCAACGACTCCACACGTGTTTACTAACACCACAATGCTTGATCAAAGGCTAACCTACAAGATTAAATCCTTACTTGTCAAATTACACGCTAATCACCACATTTACAACATAATTTTAGGTATCCATAATACCTAAAACCTCGATTTAGCCCTAACAATTTTTCGAACACACTCCATTAATCTAATTTAACATCCAAACACATAAACAACACTATTATATTACCTATATTATTCTTAATCACCCAATTTCTACCAAGAGTTCATCCAAATTCTAACAAAAAACTCCAAATCCTTATATAATCCATAAATTTAGGTTTAAAGGTTTGGTTTAACTCCCCAAGATCTTAATTAAGGAAACAAGTTTAGCCATTACCCAAGAAAACATGAAACCATAGCCCTACAATACCCTAATCATTAGAAAAGTTTGAATATAGGGAGAGGAATAAGTGTAGGAAACTTACCCAAAGCTAAATCTTGCTCTAAATGCTTCTAAAGTGATCCCAAGGTCAATCCCTAGGACCCACCGATCGTCTCCCATCGTCTCTTCACGTTCTCTCTTTCTTTTGAGTTTTGGTTTGATTTCATGAATTGATAAGTGTAAATTTTTCATATGCATGGCACAGAAAGCTCACTCACATTTTGAATCTTTCCCCATGCCACGGCCCATTCAAATTTCGATCTATCCCTCTTTTAAGGCTGTTTAATAATCTATTAGATACATTAGTCTCTTAAAACTATCATTAATCAGAAATTCATTTAATTTTACCATTATACCTTTATACACACTAGAAGTTTCTAGAATGAAAATCTAGGATGTTACATGCATGTTAGCTATGGCAAACTCTCTAAAATATGTTAAAAATGACATTTTTAACCTTTTTTCCCAATTGGATTTAATTGAAGTGGTATCCCACATTTCTAATTACATTTCGACTCTGATTTATGTTTGTTTAGAGTTTGATAATATATGATTTAGTGGTTTAGTTTGGGATCCCAATGGTTTGTGAAATTGTAATATATAAATAATAGGTTGTACCTTTTTCTAGTATCCTAGTAAGTATTAAATAGTTTTAATTCTATCTACCATGATATAATTTAAAGACTATTTATTGTTGTTCATTTTAAGTTATAAAGGTAGATCTTCAAACTAGGTTTTTTTCTTTTCTACTATGGTGAGCTCTTTTTAATTGTAATTAATTTTTTTCTGCCAAGGTAAGGTGGTTAGGATGGTTAATTCCTAATAACCATGGTAGTAGACAGTGTTATAGTTAAGTTAGTGGAGTTAATAATGTGATATTACAAAACCCACTTAATAATCCAGAGTCCACTCTTGGATTGGTAGGCCCAAGAGTTGACATAACCAAGAATTTAATTTGAGTATATCATTGTGTATGTGTAATTGTATTAATGTTATTGATGGCTTAGAATGAGCAGTAAAAGCATGATGATGAATTTGTTGACTTGAGCTTAATGCATAAGTCATGAAGCATGCCTCTTTATGATGAATTGTACTTAGTGATTACTTATGTAAAATTATGACATGATTGTGCTTTGGAATTATTGAGCCTATATTGGCCATGTAATGATTATGTGAACATGATATGATAAGTTGTTGTAAATTATGTTGATGTATGGGTTGTGATAAGAATGCAAGTCCTTGAATTTATAAAATATTGAATTATAGAGATATGCATGTGCTGATGTGCGAATGTCTTGTATATGTTGAATGAACTCGTATAATCATATATGGATTTGAGTTCACCCAAGAGTAGTGGAGGGTATAATGAGAAAATTCAGATGATGTGGCCTTTATTGCGTTTGCACATAACCTATAGGTTTGGCATGGGTCAAGCATGACGCTCAATATCATTGATTCCTACAATGGATAGTGTGGGTCAAACAATTACATGGTTTGAGAATAAATATGGGAGTCTTTGGTCAAGTGATCATTTACTATTAAAGAGTAGGACGAGTTCAATCACATGTGCTGTATTTATATGAGCTAGTAAACCATGGAATCAGTTAGATAATATAAGAAGTAGAATAAGGAAAACATTTGATCATATGGATTGTGATTTGAATAATGCATTGTGATTAATGCTTGGTTAATTTATCTTATGTGATATACCTGCTTACTTGATGTGAATGCCACACTTTGATATATTCCAATTAAATTACTTGGTTATTGAGATTGTTTAATTTTACCCCATTATTTAATATCTTTTTAGGAGATGACAAAGTGAAGAGCAAAAGGGAAGCCTTAGAGGCCAAGCACTTTTGCATTATAATGGATTTTATGCTTTGTCAACTATAGGATTCATGTGTTTGGATTATTGTCATTTGCATGTAGCCCTGTTGTTAAACTTGGGCATTTTTAGTCGTTGGCTTTATATTTTTGGGGAAAAAGCCTATCATGCAAATGTGTTGATATGATTGATGATTTATTTCTAGTTAAAGCATGTTATGATACTATTGTTTATGTTTATGCATGATTGATTAATGCTTGGGAGTTGTGAATAACAATGACTAAGAGGGGAGACACTTGTTATTGATGCTTGAGGCATAAAGCTTGTTGGGTATCTAGTGTTCTAGGATTCTTGTTTGTTATTGGACTTAAATGAGACCGGGGCCATTAGATATATCATTAAATTATCCACATGTAGGCACTTGTATCACCTTAATCGAAAGTTTAGGCAATAAATTAGGTGATTTGGAAGTCTCAAAAATAAGAGTTGTTATTGATGTGCTGTACATGATATTGTGCTGCAACAGATATGGCTATTGGCTAGAGCGAAAATAGTCTCTGTATCGCAAGCTATGGCAGATGCATACTTAGCTGCGTTAGATATGTTGTTTGTGGTTGGCTGCAATGGAGGGTCTTGTTAGTTGCGACAAACTGCTTCATTTGGGTTAGCTGTGATGGATGTGCTTTAAGCTGTGGTTGATGTACTCAGAATTTCAAAAATCCCTATTTCACCCTTGTTTGTCTTATTTTCAAATGCTTAACTTTTATCCCATGTTTTGCAAACCTTTCATACTTTGTTTTTTTTAATATATTCGAGAATTAATCTTATCATTTGACTTCAAATGTTTTTAAGATCCCATTATTCTATTATTATTCAAGTTAATTGATTTATTCAATTGTAGCCAAAGTTGATCTTTAATTGTAAGGGTTTAAGATTGATCGATGACATGGGTCATTACATTGAGCATCACAAAATCAAAAGTATTCTAAAACTCTAAATCTCATGAATAAGCTCTTTAAAATTTGGGAGTATAAGATGCAACACTAAAAAAAAAAAAAAAAACAATATAAGGCATTCACTCTAGATCATGTGTTCTAACTGGGATTTGCAAGGATGAAGTGTGAACATGAAATGTACGAAGACATTTTCTAAATATTAATAATCAAGAGTGTGAGCTTAATTAAGGTCTCTCAAGATTATTTTACCATGATATGCAAATACAAGCTCTCTTATTTATCTAGTTTTTAACATTAAGAACTATGAGAATAAAATATTAAACCTATGAATTATCTTCTCGTGTTATTGCTCCTTTGCTTTCTTGAATTATTTTTGTCATAATTAATCTTATAATCTACCCAAACAAAACATTTTCTCAAGTTTTGATATCATCGGACAAAGTGGTCAACATTATTGAATCCTTAACCCTTCAATTCATTATCATTGTTTATATGATTGAATAAACCATTGACAAACCTTGCAGCCAAAGATAGAGGGAAGATAAAAAACCATTGACAACGTGGTCATCGCTTAAATGAAAGTGAACTAATGAGAAGCACATTCCAGCATGCCATCAATATAGCAGTTTATATATATATATATATATATATATATATTAATTCCAATGATGAGGGTTGGCATAAAATGAATTGTCATATTATGAGCTAGTTTCCATTAAATTGATACTCTCCCATATCTAACCATAAAATCTAAAAGAAATCATGTTGTGGCAAATCTAAAATACCACAACAGGTCGTACCACAAGCAGAAAATGAGAGGGAGAGTGAAAACTTAAGAACACAGAGAAGGGAAATAGAAATCCAGATGTAGATGGCCGTACCTGTCTGGAGTTGACTTCAGCCAACAATTTAAGAAAAGAAAAGCATCCACAAAGAAGGGAAGGTTTAGTGTGCAAGACGCAAGAGAGGCATTGAGTGGAGAGGAATGAAGTGGTTGCACAGTAGATTAGAGGCAATAGCGTTATGATCTGGTGTTGAGAGGAGATGAAGCTCGTCGATGTCAATACAGAAGCCGGCAGGGAACGAAAACGAAGAGGAGGATGGCGAGATGCTTGAGCTGCAGAGACCTCGACGGCGAGTGATTCTGAGCCCGACGACAGCAGGGAAGAGATTTAATTAATGAGTGGAGACCGGCCTAGGGCTTTCTTTGAGCGTTTCCTACGAAGGGATCATGAAATGATCAGGAGAGTGGGAGAGGTTAATGAGACGGGCAGACGTCTACACAAATTCCAAGAATATGGCACACAACACAAGGCAGACCGTGACTTTCTCTATGAACAGTAAAATTAGAAAGGAGCCTTATTAGGCCATTTTTCAAATTTGGCTAGAGCTATTTTGTTACATTTGATATATTTTTTTAAATAAAAAGATATATTTAATATATTGATTTCATGAAAGAGTTTTATTGACTCATTCTTAATTTAAACAATTAAGTTATTCTTAGTTCTATGTTGATATAAAAAATTCTGTATCTTCATGCAGGTAAAAGAGATGGAAGCATTCCCAGTGATGAACAAAAATATCAGGAAATTCATATGTGCCGGTGAAAATCCCTGTTTGGGGGGATGAATATCAATTATCAACTAGGACAGGATTTGGGAACTACCACTTCTAAACAATACAGATTAAAATTAATTTACTCAAGGACTTCTCTAATTAATAATCCAAAACTGCATCCACCTAGTTCGTTTTCCTTGCTCAGCTTACAACGCAGAAATAATAATACAGAAAAAGTAGTCCTCGTGTATCTAATGTAGATACAGATTAGTACAAAAGGTCGATGCCGAATGCACATCTTGAAGGTACAAAGAATCACATTGCAGTTATATCAATAGAGTGAATTCCCCTGTTTTCATTTAATCCTCAAGTCAATACTCATCTTATGCTGAGGGTATGGTTGTTTCACTTTGAGCTGTCTCTCCAAGTGTGAACCTTACAAAACGTCTCACTTTAATGTTCTCTCCAATCGCAGCTACTGTTTGCTTCACGAAATCCTTAACTAGAACGTTGTCATCCTTAATGAAAGGTTGCTCTAGAAGAGCAAGCTCCCCAAGCCTCTTTGAGACTCTTCCCTCAACTATTCTTTCTCTGATGTTCTCAGGTTTTGAAAGAATGTCATCTCTCTGCATCTCAATTTCTTTTTCTTTGTTCACTATACTCTCGGGAATGTCTTCAACGGATACAAACTGCACTTGGGGGCTGGCCACAACTTGCATTGCAAGATCATCAACTAACTCCTTGAATTTATCGCTTCTACCGACAAAATCAGTTTCACAGTTCACCTCAATTAGAACCCCGATGCGTGAATCATGAATGTATGAACCAATTCTGCCTTCAGCTGCCAGCCTGCTGGATTTCTTCTCAGCAGATGAGAGACCCTTTTTTCTTAGGTATTCCTGTGCCTTCTCAAGATCACCTCCAGTTTCAGCAAGAGCTTTCTTGCAGTCCATCATCCCTGCTCCGGTATCTTCTCGAAGCTGCTTAACCAATGCAGCAGAGACTGCTACTGAAAGCGGTCTGCATCAGAAGGTTGAGTTATTGAAGTCTGAAGAATAGCGATAAAGTCAAGGAAATTTCTCCTTTTCTATTCTCTATTTTGTAACTAACAATTAAATGAATGCACAAGCACATCAGAAATTTTTAGAAATGGAATTGGCGTATGACTGAGTGATTCATTCGTTATGCTAAATTTAGTGCCACGCGTGCTGAATACCTCATCAAATGCATTCAACTAAATAAATAAAATTTTGTAGAGCTGCTTACTTCTGCTCTGGTTCCTTGGCAGCAGGAGTAGGTTCTGTTTTTTCTGGTGCAGGCACAGCTTTTGCAGCAGTTTGTGCAGCCACTTCGGCAGCAAAATCCTGACTTTTCTTCTCCAAGCCCTCTCCAAGATTGAACCGTACAAATCTCTTAACTTTGATGTTTTCTCCAATGGTTGCTATAGTCTGCTTGACCAAGTCCTTTACTACCACTTTATCATTCTTAATATACGGCTGCTCAAGCAATGCTAGCTCCTCAAGCCTTTTTCTTATTCGGCCTTCAACAATCTTTGCTCTTATCTGCTCTGGTTTTGATAATAAATCTTCTTTCTGCATCTCTATTTCTTTTTCTTTGTTCACAATACTTTCAGGAACATCTTCGATGTCAAGATACTGTACTTGAGGGCATGCTGCCACTTGCATGGCCATATCATCAACAAGCTCTTTAAAAATTTCTCCCCGGGAGACAAAATCTGTCTCACAGTTTACCTCAACCAAAATACCAATCCTGCTGTCATGAATATAGGATCCTATTCTTCCTTCAGCTGTGGCTCTGCTCGCTTTCTTTTCTGCACTAGCTAAGCCTTTTTTTCTGAGAAACTCCTGTGCTTTAATAATGTCCCCTCCAGTCTCTGAAAGAGCCCTTTTGCAATCCATCATTCCAGCTCCTGTTTCTTCCCGAAGCTGCTTAACAAGAGCTGGTGATATAGTTGCTGCAATCAATAAAAAAGGACGAGACAATTTACTATGAGATAATTCCCAATCCCATGAAAGAGTGAAAAAAACAAAAAGAAAAAGAAAAGCCAGCTGACTGAAAAACCAAGGGATTGCAATTAAGTTAAAGTATTGTTTAAAAATCTCATTTAGTTAATCCCCAAAACACCTGATGGCGATATAGCCAATAACAAATTCTGACTTGTATAAAAAAATTTGATGTGAGGAAAGAACGAAAAGATTACAATGCATAAAAAGCAACTTTATAATAGGACCCTATTACAGCAATCACGGATTTGCAAAATATGGTCCAATTTATCCAGAAAGTTTCAACATTAATATTTGAAATTGTAAAGAAATAAGATGCAACTCTCAAATTTAAATCTTTTGACCATATGCAATAGGATACAAAGTATAAACCTTTACTCAAGCCTTGCTCTGAAGCAGAAACACCAGTTTGACCATTTGCATTAGATAAGCTGTTATTTGTCTCAGGTGCACTTTTAACCTCTTTACTTTCAACTTGTGAGGAAAAAGAATTTTCATTCTCAGTGGCAGGTGCTTGTTCTTGCACTTCATTGGGTTCATTCACTGAATTTTCTACAACTTCAGCAGGATCAGGAGATATGACTTGATTATTATCACTTGTTCCATCCATAGAGGCAGAATTAACAATTCAAGATCACTATTTATGAGAATTTTTAAAGAATTAGTCTTGTTAAGCATGCCAAGTATAATTTGGTTAGTTGCTGCAGTTATGCAAAACTAAGCCTTCGATATCTTTGGAAACCACAAACATGAAACATTGAACTAATGTGAATGTTAAATAAAAGAGAAAACTAGATGTACATTTAATAATGTAAATGTTAAATAAAAAAGAAAACTAGAGCCATTTAAAAAAAAAAAATCTTCTTCTTACTCGTTTTGATTCATTGGCCAAAGTTGAAGCATGCTAGCAGAAACAGATGCTGAGCATACCTGTGCTCAAGCTTTCCTGAGATGATAGCATGCCGGTTTGTCCACTTGAACTAATATCATTGCTGTTGTTCTCAAGCACGGCTCCTGCTTTGTCATCTACTTGCAATTCAGAGAAAGTTTTAAATGATAAGTCAAGTTGAAGACTTTTGTGTTTGGAACGAAACTTATTAACAACACAAAATAAATGTTAGCTGTCAATTGGATGTGGACTTGCCATTTCCACATGCAAACAAGAATAACAAGAAGAAGTTTTATCCCACTAAATGGGGTCGGCTATATGGATTGTATGATGCCATTATGCTCTATCATTTACCAAGCTTTTAGAAATGTAGTTAACTAAAAAGTCTCAATTAACAACTTCCATAAGTGTGCTCTTTAGCCTTCATTTATCCCTCTAAACAAGGCTCAAAATTATCCATTCCACTCTCATCACTAGCACCTCTCATGGTCTTCGCTGTACATGTCCAAACTATCTCAAACGATTTTCTATTATTTTCCTCTTGACAGGTGCTACGTCTACTTTTTCTTGCATGTACCCATTTCGGATTTTATTTTTAGGTGTATGTCCACACATTGATCTCAACATTCTTATCTCTACTACTCCAACTTTATACCCTTATTATTCTATTAAAGCCCAACATTCACTACCATATAACATAACTGATTTTATAGTAGTTTGATAAAACTTCTCTTTAAATTTGTCAGGTATCTTACAATCGCAAATAACTTCTTTAACTTTTTTCCAATTAAACCATCCAACATGTATTCTGTCTAGATAATTTCATGGGCAAATGGTAGAGCCAATAGACCTAATTGTATGCCTATTGAAGTATGAAAATATTTAGGTGAAAAGGAGGTGCGGTGGCTAACTAAATTATTTAATCAAGTCTTACGGTCCAAGAAAATACCTAATGATTGGAGGAGAAGCACCTAAGTTCCTATTTACAAAAATAAAGTTGATATTCAGAATTGTGCTAACTACAAAAGGATTAAACTTATAAGTCATATAGTAAAATTGTAGGAAAGAGTGATTAAGCATATGTTGAGATTGGAGACTGGTATTTCTAAAAATCAGTTTGGCTTCATGCTAGGTAAGGTGACTATAAAAGTGATTTATCTACTAAGGGGATCAATGAAAAAGTATTGATGCAAATGTAAAGATTTACACATGGTTTTCATTGATTTGAAAATAACGTATGATCGTGTATTGAAAGAATACTTTGAAAAGTCATGGAAAAGAAGGGAATTTGGATTGCCTAAATTAGAGCTATATAAGATATGTATGAAGAGGCAACAACTATTATAAGAATGCTTAACAGTGAAACAAAGGACTATTCTATAAGGATTTGACTACATTAAGGATCATTTTTGAGTCCTTATTTATTTGACTTAATCTTTATATGTTTTGACTGAGCATATTTAAGAAGAAATCTCCAAAGGCATGCTTTTCACAGAGGATATAGTTTTTATTGCGAAGACAAGAAAAGAGATTACCTATAAACTTGAGTTATGGGAGAAGACATTAGAGTGAAAAGATTTTTTTCCTAAGTACGGGTAAGACAAAATATTTGCATTATAATTTTAATAAGAAGTCAATTAGTAGTAATTTGAAAGTGAAATTAGGAGACTAGATTATATCTCGAGTGAAAAAATTTAGACATTAGGAAACTATTATTTAATATGATGGGAAAGTTTAGATATTTAAGGCCTATTTGGATAACTCTTAAAAGCACATTCAAACCACATTTGGGGTGTGCTTTTACCAAATCTAACAAATAGTTGGATCTTCCAAATGTGCTTTTGCCAGATGTAAACTGAAAACCAAACACATACTTAGATATTATTCCACATGCAAATGCAAATGAAATATGAGGAAAAACACACATGGATTTATATAGATGGGAGTGCAAGAATACTACCAACCTGCAATTTCCAGAGGAGTTGGTGCATTATTAGATAGAATATCTGATTCCAACCCTTTAATGCTGCCATTTATTTCAGGGCTAAGGTCAACTCCATTGTTATCAGTTGGTGCTGCAGTAGCAGATTGTTCATCTGCATCAGATGTTTGCAATTGCTTTTCATCCTTCACAACAGAAAGATCAATCCTACTTTCTCCCACAATTTCACTATCTGTTTCAGGAGGTGAGTCTGTTATATGGCTTGCTACAACATCAATTTGAGTTACTTCTTCAATAATTTGATTTGCCGTTGATGCATCATCTCTTTCAGGAGCCAGAATTCCAGAAGTCACATTCTCTTTGTTCTCAGAGGCACCCTCTACTCTGGAGTTTGAACTAGAGATATTGCTTACTGCATCGCTTTCATTATTCACATCAGCTTTTGATTCCCCATCTGATGAGCTGGCTCCTGCATCCAACAGACTTTTGGAATCACCCTTTTCAGTTTTATCATTTACATTTTCACTGGCTATTTCAAGAGGTGAGTCAGCTCCAGCATTGCTTGCCGCAACATCAGTTTGAGCTGCTTCCTCAACAATTTGATTTGATGTGGATGAATCACCCTCAGCAGCCAAACCACCAGAAGTCACCACCACTGCTTCCTTCTCAGTGGCAGCATCAACACCTGATATCGGGTCAGAGATGTTGCTTACTGGGTTTCTTGCATCACCTACAGTAGCTCTTGAGGCACTATCCAACAAGCTGCCTTCCACATCCGCCTTACTCTCATAATTGTCATCCTTGAGATTATCTTTTACTGGTTCTTCCAGCTTTTCAGGGACATCAATTACAGTCTCCTGTTGCAGGACAGTTTCTTTGATTTCTTCTGTTGATGTATTTTCAACTGGTTTTTTCACATTATCTCTCTCGTCTAAAAATGAAGCAATTTCTTTGTTCTTGCGGAAAGCTAAAACAAAAGGGTTTGTTGCGGCATGGACAACCCCTTGGCTAAGTTGGGAGTCCAATTCTGCTATATCTTCCTCTTTCTTCATAGTCAATGTTACTTGTCCTCTTGAGATACGCAAAACTCGTACACTGACTTCTTGACCAACCTGCAATGAAGAGTTACCCATAACATTCTCAAATCCATCATCAGACTCCTCAGATATGGGTAAAAAGCCTTCCTCTCCATCAGGAAGAGATATAAAAGCACCACTCCTGGTCATATTCTTCACTGTACCTTCAAGATCCTGCCCCTTCACAAACTTGGTGCTTCTTTTCACATCATCTTTCTTTGAACTGGGCTTTGATGTGTTCCTCCTCCCAGGTCCAGTCTTAGCTGAACTGACTGGTGCATCTTTTTGTTGCCGCAGCTTACCAATGTCATCACTTTCACGCATAGAGAGAGAAATACGCTGACTCTCAGTGTTAACTTCAATTAGCTTCACATTCACTTCTTGTCCAACTGAAACTATACTTGCAACATCTTTAACATAGCTATCACTCAACCTTGAAACATGAACAAGGCCATCTGTGAAGGCTCCGAAATCAATAAAGGCCCCAAATGGTTGGATTGATTTTACTTTCCCAGAAAAAGTTGCTCCAGGAATCAAATCCTCATTCTTTACAGGAGGCATCTCACTTTTCCTAGCAGGTCTGGAACGTTTGGCTTTAGCTGAAGCAGTACTGGCATTGGACTTAAGAGACAAATCTTCACTTGTACCAACTTCTTTTGAAGGAGCTTCAGAAGTTTCAATAGAGTCATCATTTGCCGCAGGTGAATCCGGTTCCTCCACAGCTATATCTGTTTCTGTAGCTGATATACTGGTTCTAGATTTTCCATTAAACGAAAGTATTCTTTGGTTCTTTGAAATCAGTCCAATGGAAACAAATGGAGGTACAAGAAACCTTGGTTTTGATGATCCATGTTTTACAGACTTCCTTGATAAATTGAGTGTTGTCAAAGAATCACTTCTCCTTGCAGTAAATGCACTTTCAGGAATAAATGAGATAATGCCCGTGGAGCATGGTATTACAGGATTCATGTTGACTTGAAATGCAAAACTTAATTATGTTTCAGAATCAGCACATTTCATGTCACCTGCCCAGAAAATATGACATGAAAAATCAGCACAAGCTTCAGTATTGAATTACTTAGGTGGCTCCAATATGATCATCGAAGATACTTTAAGAAAGGAGGGGGGGATCAGTTGTCTTGGTTCGGTAAGCAATGATATAAAATTATATGCCTCAGGGATTAGTATTAAAACCATTGTAGACACAACCACATCCGTCAGAAAAGGACAAAGCAAAATAGTCAAATCGCTAACATAATATCAACGAGGATAGACACCAACTACATCACAGATCACATGTCTCCAAGAAAATTATTGCAATATCAACGTCAATGTGAGAAGGCTACAATGGAACTATATATTCCGCATAAAAAAGGCTAAAAATAATCATAATGGTTTATCTAAATTATCTTCCTGTCATCGACTGAAAACACAGAGATAATCTAAGGGAAAAGGGAAAAAACAGAATCACCTAATTAATAATGGAATTTCCATCAGGATAAATAATAGTGTAAGAATTCAAGAACCATATACAAAAATTACAAACCGGACAGACACTCTTAACATCCTAACGCCCCACTACTTCCACATAAATATAGTCAAATTGCAAATTACGATAAAACGAATTTATGACATTTCAAGGCAAAATATAGTCATCAAGTAAACCGGAGAGACACTAAAGCCCACGATTCCGTTGCAAAATTCATATTCCTTGTGCATTGAAGGGAAATTAAATCCGATGGATTGAGCTATACGGGAGGATTATACATCAAATTCAAGCTCAACATGGAACAGAGTGCTAGAAAAATCAGACAATACAACAAATTTGATGAAAAAAGAAAGAACCGTTAGGTGCACGACCAGGGATTGATACCTCAGAAGCTTGAAAAGGCCAAAAAAATTCATAGAAACTTTACGTTTACAAGTTGAAAAACTGTAGAAAAGGCGAGAAAGTATTGGTTTCTAACCAAGTTAATTTCTGGGTTGAGAAGATAGAGCTTACTCTGTACTCTTGAGAGGAGGAAGGAGGGAAATGAATGGTGAGGTTTTAAATCCTTATCTTATCGGAGTATTGTGTTGCTTAGTCGAGTCTCAGGTGGAAATCGCATGGTGAAACTATTCGGCTCACGTCGCTTCGGCTTAGCCGCTTAGCCGAGTCAACACCACCTTACACTATTGGGCTTTTCAGTGGCGAAGTAGTAAGTGCTGAAGGCCCAAATTATCAAGTCCATTAAGCCCAAAACATGGGTTATGAATCAATAGGCTGCTATTGCTGACCCACAGAGAGAGAAAGAGGGAGAGAGAGAGAGAATATGTTACCGCTAAATTTAAAGATTTGTTATATTTTTTGGCCCAAAAAAAATATTATTATTATATCACTATAAAAGTATTACAAGTAAGTAGATATTTTTATTTTTGAAACATAAAATTTAGTTAATTTATTAAATCATTTTAAATTTAATTTAATAAAAAATATTTTAATAAAAAATTAAAATTACACAGAAGGCTACTTTTACGTTTTAATTGTAAATTACATATAGGTCTTATGAATCATATAAAATTTAAAAAGATACATTATTGGGTTATGGTGTAAAAATACCCAAAAAAAATTTCTAAGAATTTTTGATTGAGTAATAATAATCTATTAATACCTATTAATTTTACAAAGAGGTCAACATTTCTCAATTTTTTAAGATAATTTGATGTTAATTGTTAAATTCTAAAGGTGGAAATTAGAACTGAACAAATTGGTAAATGTTGGCCTCTATTATAAAGTTAATAGGCATCTATGTATCATTGTTAACTTCAGATACAATAAGCTTCTATAAAAAAAATTATTTGAGGTATTTTTCACCTTAACTCTGCATTATTTGTGATTAATCTCGATTTCAACCAAACTTAATTTTGCCTAAAACCATGTTTGTCCAAGTAAAATGGAGAGTGATTACAATGACCATTGTGATGTGCATCCTTGGAATATCAAGTTTTTGTATAATTTTATTTGAATCAAAGTGTTTTTTAATATAAAAGTAAATCACACTAATTTTGTCATGTTTGGCATAAGTGAAGAGTAGATTCAGAAACGGCAGAATGAAAGAGTTCCAAATTCTAATAAAGAAATTATTAATATGCATCTCCTAAACTTTGGAATTAGTATATATAGAATGGAGCTCCCCTCCCCCCCCCCACTTGTCTCTCTCAAGATGGCTTCATCATAATGATGACCTTAATTGTCTCTAGCCTTTACATGTCTTGCTAGCTACATTCAATACGAAAGAAATTTAATTGGAGCTCTAATATGTCTTGTTTGGTCACAAGTTATTAGTAAGAACTGAACTCGGTAGATGGTTTCACAGAAATTATTTTGCAATTAAAAACATCATGAATATATTAAAAAAATTGAACGAGATGACCAAATGCATGCATGGAAGCTATCGAATCTTCATATTTTTATTTATTTATGGAGGGAGCTGTGAGGAGCATTATTGGTTTTGGTGGTATATCAAAGAGAATTTCAACGAGCATGGAACTAATAAACTAATGCACAAGCATGTGTGTGCAAGATATATAAATAATAATAAAAATAAAAATAATAATTTCAACTTTGTAGAGACGGGAAAGACATTTCCTTTATGATTGGGATTAATTAATTAATTGCTTTTTTAAATTATTGAACTGAACTACCAACCCGCAACTTTATGGGCAGATACTCTCTCCTTTCTATAATTTTTTAAATTATTTTTATTGAAAATAACAGTCAAACTAATCTGGGAGAAAATCTCAATGACACGTGGAAATGATAGGTCCTCCAAGATCAATACTGAAGAATGGAGATGACTGATTCAATTTAATTATTATTTTAATCTTTATAGATTGAAAATAATTCATCGTCTTGAACTAAACAATTTAAAAAAAAACTATACTTAAATCTCACATAAAAAAATTTATTATTAAAAATTTTTATAAAATTTATAAAATACTCTCAAATTTTAAATCTTACATATTTATAACTTAAATAAAAGTGTTTACAACTGGCAACAAAACCTTGGTGTAATTTTTTTCAACAATTTATAACTCTTACTGTGTATCTCATGAATATTCGATCACCTTAATGAAAATCATGTGATTCGTTGAAGACATATTATTCAATTCAATTAATTAATTTCAGTTTTTTATTTTGTAGCTTTATTTTTCATTCTTGTATACGCAACACACATCTAGTATATCTGGTACATTATTGAGTCAAGTTCAAATATTATGGGTTAAAATTTGCCCGAAACTCGAAATATTTGATATTCTAAAATTTTAGTTGGAGTCATGTCTCCTTTATTTTTTAAAAAATAGTGCACTGTGGATCTAATTTATTATTATTATTTTTTGGTTACAAGGGAACAAACAAAAACAGAAAACAATCTAAGGATCGCTTCTATGAAGTCTCCAATTTCCAAAGTTGACAGCGTCTTCTTGCAGCAACTTCCTAATATCTTCAGGAAGCATGTATAGATCATGCAAAACCTCTATCCAAGGATAGAGCAAAGTTCCAAAAATTTTGCACACCTATTTCACGATAAATATTAGCAACATCTACTTGCTGGTGGATAAGGCTAGCACTTAAGATAGGAGTAAATTGAGTGTTTTTAAAATTTTTACAAAACTTTTCTCAATCCAAAAATAAAGATGATGAATTCAAAAACAAATAAGTGCAGAAAGCTTTTGTGAAATAAATGAATTTAACTAATGAAAAAGTTTGACACACAAGATTTATCTTAGTTTAGCCCATTGAAATGGCCTACTTCCAATTCTTAAGATCACACTTGAGATTTTTCACTACAACCACAAGTTTAATTGGGTGCTTGCCATATCAGTACAGTCCACAATGCTACATCAGTCTTATTTTAGAAAACAACTTACAGCACTTGTAAGTACAATCAACCACTTAGGAAAATCTCTTTTTAAGATTTCAAAAAAAGTAAGGAAAAACTTCTCAAATCAATAACTTTCTAAAAGAGTGAATATAGATATAGTAAAAGCTTATAAACCAGTTGAAAAATTTCTTACATAGTATTGAATGCTAGACACTTAATGCTCAAAGAATTGTAATCCACTCACTTAAATGAGGTCATATTTATAATTTAGCATCAAAAGAGATGTTAGAAATACTCTAGGTAATGACTGTAGCTATTGGAGACATGTAGAAGTGAATGTTACCAGAAAGAGTACTTTTTTTCTGCAAACAGCATTAAATGTCTATCAAAGCTTGATTCACGCATAGATTAATAAGGAAGCATGTGTGGATTGGCTTAACACACAAAGGTTTGGTTCACTTTTGGCTACTTTAAGCGTGAAGGCTCTATAGTTCAAGCATGTATTAAAGGTCAGAAGCTTCTTGCTTCCACTATGACCTCAAACACATGTGGGTATAAACTCATTCAAGCGTGTATTGAAAATATGCTCTGTGTAAGGTGAACTATGCTTGAGTAACTTCTGAAACAAGTTGTGTAAGGTCTCCCTTTCTATTATCCAATTAACTCCAATTTTAAGGTAATCAAGGGATTATCCCAAAAAGATTAGCAAGTGTATAAGTTTCACAAAACAGGGATCTTAAGTTTTACAAAACAAACCTTTACAATTCAAAATCAGAGTAATTAGATGTATGTGGAAACATGAGATCTTTCACAATTTAAAGCATTTGCATAATAAGTATAAGTAACAAAATAATGTAGGGAAACAGACAATGCACCATGTGTAACCTCTCCCAATATCTGCCTAATATTAAGAGGGATTAACTTAATCACTACATTTTAATACCAAACTGAAACAATATATAGTTTGAAAAGGGCTTGGGACCTAAGACTTTATTTTTAAAATCATCCAAAACCCTCAACATTTCAAAGTAATTCATAGCAAAAGGTAATCATATGCATTCATCACCCCAAAATCATGCTTTAAAATAAAAAAGACAAGGCTAGAAATTGGACTATGTGCCATGGCATGTACCACATACACCATGACATATGGCACAGAGCCACAAGCTCCCCTTCTCTGTGACATGCACCGTGGCATAACACGCAATGTGCTGTGGCGCACATGACAACAATTTTTGCTGTTATATGACAGTTCGCAAAGTGAACTTTTGGCATGCGCCGTTGTTACATAAGATGTCCAATCAGAGTAATTCAAGTGCCCATATGAAGCTTATTCATAAGTTAGTTAACTATGTTGGTCCTGAATCTTTCCCTGTGCCTAGCTCACTACATTGGCCTGTAAAAATTATAACTACAGAGTGAGATAAACATCTCAGTAATATAATAACTTGCTACTACTAATTATCACATGTAATTTTAAGCAAGTATAACATAGTATACATTTCAACATATCATATAACATGAATTTTACTTTCAATCACTTCATTAATATCATATTTCACTACTATTCATCACTTCTATAAGCATGATCTCTACCATTCGAACCTCCAAAACACCTCGAGTTGAAACCATAGGTTTGCCTTAAACCAAGACACATATTCATTAGCCTTGAGCACACCTTTAGTGGTAGAATCACCTAGTCAAAGGCATTTTATCTCACTTCCGAACTATGGTTTCTCCCATCACACACAATGGGGTGTCATTGGCTCCAACACCATATCATAGATATTAAGGAGCCCAAATCTCCAACACCACACCTTGCATGGGCACTAAGGTGATAATCTCCAACACCGTACCTTAAAAGGTATTAAGGAGATACGATCCTCCAACATCACACCCCATCAAGCATTAGAGATAATATGCCATATAGACTTATTGCTATTTCTCCTTATGGGTGAACTCCCACCTCCTGTGATCATACTCTCATATGGACCACATGTTCACATATAAAATCATGTGTGTGCGCGCGCGCGTGCGGGCGTGCAAATCACAAAACCATACAATTTCATAAACTCAAATCTTAGAAATCAATTTCAAGCATTAAATATTTGGTCAATAAATATGCACACTCTAAAACACTTTCATGTAATAATATTCATAC